ATATTTATTATTTTTTTTTTTTTTTTTTTTTTTTTTTTTTTTTTTTTTTTATTAGTTTCTCTGTTTTAACATCTAAGAGTCATTATTTAGTAATTACTTATAAAATTATGCATAAATTATTGTAGTTTTTGGAATTTTTTATTTATCCAAAACTTTAACATTTTAAGGCGGGTCTATATGCTAAGAGTACTAAATTTTTAGGTTTCAAAAATTAGTGAGTAGTTTAATGAAATGATTATTTTTATTTTGATATTTTAAATGATAAATTGATTGAATTTTAACTTGTCATCATCATTACGTCAAAGCGAATTAATATAAATTAATACTTAAAATAAACAACAAACTACATGTATGAATTTAGTTTCAATATGAATAAAATATAATAGTAAACAATGTATGCGATAATTTATTGCATTTTATAGACTAATTTATAATATATTAATTTTAGATCATATTTTAAAATAACACTGAAGGAGATTCAATATTAAAAAATAGATATTGAATTGAAATATTAAGTGGATTCGCTTATTATTTGCATATCTTATGGTTAAAACTAACGGGCCAATAAGGTAATTTGTATTTTTTAAATTATAAAAGCACCAGATCATACATTTTAATATTAGTAGGATAAATTTGTATAGATATAATATTGCATAATATTTATTTTGTCACTATTTAATTAATATCTTAGACCATAAAAATTTAATAATAATATCACAGACTATATGTTCATATAGTCTGTGATAATATTACAAATAAATTCGCTATCATTTGAAAACGCAGATACATTATCTAATGTCTGTATTTCACCATTAATATTTCTTAAAATTACACAGAAATTTACACAAAATTTAATTTTTTTAAGATCGCGTGGAAATAAATGTTTTGACAATTAAAACAAGTAACAAATAATGTAATCTCTTAATGAGTATTCGCAAAATATAAAGATTTCAACACGATCAACAATGGTCGAAGTAGCAAATGCCATGATCATATTGACCATACTTTTCATTTATAAAAAAATCCTTAAATAATACATGGTTCAGTATCACAATTTTTAACTATATCCCCATTAAACAATTCTGGCTACATACTATCTATAAAAAAAACAGTTGTTGAACAAACTGTCCGTGTCTTTTTTTATAAAACAAATAATTTTATCATAACCTCGAATAAAAAACTATGATCAAATCAGAATAACACTGAACGGATCATTTTATTTTAGTATGTTGTTTGATGTCATGGTAAGTGATACTGTTGTTCATATATAAAAATTAATTGCACAGTATAGTGAAAATCTAACAACATTTTTTATGTTTACCACATATGTTTGTGTTTTAAATACATAGTCTATACATTTTTCATTTAGAACCTGAGCGTATAATAATATTCAACTCGTCGATTTTAATGAAATACATTATCAATCATTCAATATACCTTATATACGTACATTTAGTGTACGTATATTTCATAAACATAATACAATTATAATTAATTTATGTATGTATTATACACCAATTATTTTACTCTATTGTATTTCAATTGACAGTTGAGGAGTTGAAAATAGTTATGACAATGTTTTAAAGTAAATGGTTGTACCTAGTGCATTACTAACTCATTTTTAATACAGTGTTATATAGTTCTTTATTTACGCATTAAGAAATTTTTATTAAAGCTCACTAAATTAAATTCGAAATATTTTATATTTCTTCATAGAATAATATTTTAGTATCAAAGATCTTTTTTGTAAATATTATTCGGTAATATAAATAATTCTATTTGGTTACTACTTCTTTGAGAAAATACCAAAAATAATTTCAAATGAAAGGAGTGAGTGAGTAGTTGATATTTGTACATAATACTTAAAACGATGTAAATGTTTGAAAATAAAAATAACTAATTTATCATACATATATCTAAATTCGTGATATTTGACTTTAATATACTTCAATATAGTTTATCCTCTATCTTAATATATAAACAAGTTGTATACAATTTTACTTCAACAATTTTAAAAACAAAGTTACATTGTAACACTAATATAATTTACACTCACAGTGCGATATTAATAAGTCTTATCAATTTAACACTGGAAAATGTATAGAGGCTCGATAATTTTAAATTTCCTATAATTTTACACAACTTATTATAAATAAAAATTTTGAGATTAACTGATACATTTTTTCAAAAATCAACGAGCTCAGATTTTTTTATTCTGGATGAAATAGTGAGATCATGTAAAAAAAGTAAATTCGTGTGGATTGGGTTGCCATAATAGCCTACCCAATAAAAAAGACTTTTTATTTGTTTAATATTTCTTTTAGACTAACTTATTTTCTATTTGCTGTTATACTTATTGTATGGCTACAAATGAAATTCATAAAAATCGAAGAGAAGGTATTAAAGGTCAAGGTAAATGATGATTCATCAACTAGGGCGCGAAATTGCATGCATTTACAAATTGTATTAAGTTATTCCGAGCCTACCATCACTCAACATAAATTTTCATTAATTGACTTAAAAACTTAATAATGTGTTTTTAGCAACGTTATAAATTTGGGAAGGATTAGAAGATTTTAACCTCCCCAAAATGAAAAATATTTCTACACTACTTAATATCTCTCCTACGACAAAGTCATATAAACTTCAAAGTGACTTAAATGAAATTTATAAATTCGGGCTCTATTAATTAATAAAATATAAGTCTGCGTAATAAATATTGGACAAAAAAATACAATGTAAGTGACAAATAGTTTCAGAAGTTATCTTTTCTTTCTGACATCTAATGTGTTACTTTAGGGTTTTTTATTTATTTTGCATACATATATCGAGGGTATTAAATTAAAGGAATTTATTTACCAAAACTAGTATTTTTCGATTCTTTGTCTATTTTAATCAACATATAAAATATTTTTAATGTGAAAATTGTGTACTATTAATTATATTGCATGGCATATTTTTTTAAGAAGAAAACAATTTTTTCATTAACTAAAATGGAAAATAACAATTGCTCTCTTGGAGATGAATATTGCCGTTAATGGAGAATGGCATGCTCCTGTGGCTCCTCTGCTACGCCATCGTTTTATAATATCAATATTTTTACTCCACATTACATAAAAATTGCTCTTATGTGCGAACTACTGATAATTATATCTTTATGACGAATATATAGTGACATAATTTAGGTATGATTCTTAGATAAATTTTACACCTGTATAACATTTATTAAATTTAAATGAAAAATATGTCGTTGCGGTGTTTAATTTAGTAAACGAAGAAATATATTTCAATAGATGATTTGTTTTTGAATCACAGAATAAATCTATTTTTATGTTTATAATTTATTCTGTGGTTAAATATACCTATTGTTAAATTGAGGGGTTACAATGCAAACGTACCTTTTTGATTTTAGAAAATCGCTTCTTCTGAAAAATTGTATTTTTGGAAATAGTATGTGCTGCATTGTATCCCCTCAATTATTATGACCAATCACGATTTTGATAAGACCTTATCACTACTTTGACAGTTATTAAAATAATTTAAATAAATACTTACCAAAATATTTTTGTTTTTCTAATAAATTTTCTGCCGAACATTTAATTAAAATGATTTTTAGCAAAGATCAGAATGCCTATCGAAATCACTGGATTTTTCATAATATCATTCCTACTGGTATGAAATGTAGGAAATATATATAATTTCGTTTAAGTATTAAAAAATCATAATAATTCATACATTTCTAAATGTATGAAAACGCTTCATTATTTTAACATTGCATCAAACAACTATTAGTTATTAATTTAGTATTTTTGTTAAAACCTATTATTTGTTTTATATTTTAATAATCTATAAGTTTGATTATTTTTTAGGTTTCATTAACTTACATTGTTAATAATAACATAAATTAACAAATAATTATATACTTAATATTTGAGAAATTCATTATGGCTTCTTCTATTCATAATAGCTTTAAAATTGATACTAAAAAGCATTCTTTTTACGATAAGGTTTGTGACAATATTATGTTAAATTAAATAATCATATAGTTCTTAAGCAAAATAACATAGATTGAAATTTTAGATTTTTAAAATAATCTACTGTTAAAATTTTGAATTGTTTGTTAAATTTATTTGTATTTATTAAAAATAATCTTTCATTTTTCATCATATTAAATTTTTTTTCATTAATTATTATTTTATTAGGTGAAAATAATTACGGGAGTTAAATTAGTCATAGCACCTTCCTATTTGTTCATATGATTATAAATAATTTATTAAGTTTTATTAATTGTAAATTATAAAATAAACATTTTTTTAAATTTTTTAGAATAGACATGTATAGCTTTTAAAAAATAAATAATGAAAAATTAATTTTACTTTCATCAAATTGCATACTTACAATTAGATGACTCACACTATGTTTTAAATATTATTCCTAATATTCAGTATAACTAAGATAAACATGAAAATGTTATGATTTTTTTCTTTTTATATGATTTCTCCCAATCATTTAAAATATATTATTATAGTTACTGATTATTATTTTATTCATTGAAATACTACTTAATTTTGAAGGATGAAAAACCTTACTGTGAAATAGTGAATGAAAATGACTCTTATGAGAAAGTATCATTCTATACAACATTTATGGCAGCTATAGGATTTTACTTTTTATTAATTATTGGATTTGTCAATTATTTAATTTTTAAACCTAAAGGAGCTACTGAACAGAATCGAGAAGTAATTTTACTATAATTTTTTCTTTAAATCTTAATAATACCTTCCAAAATATTTTAGGGTTATCCTCCTTTATACAAAACATTTGACAGTATTTTTTTGAACTATGTATATCGTCGTGTACAAGATTGTTTTAATAGAGTAGTATGTGGTGTTCCTGGTACAGAAATTGAAATTCAGGATAGAATAACCTATGATAAAAACTGGTCTTTTGAGTAAGAAAAACGAATTTAATAATCTTTTTTTTTCAATGTTTTTACTCATTAAGAGCTATTGTAGCCTCCCCAATGAAGATGTTTCTCAACCTTATATACCCCAAGACAAATGGTTAGTTTATTGCCGTAGGACAGGGAGGCAATTTCAATTACTGATCTGCTAATCTTGCTTAGCAAATAAAGTTACCTGTGAATTGAGCCTAACTCATAGAAGTATGATGTTATAGGCTCAGTTACACTATCCCTTTTATTTAATAATTGTAGTAAATATTAATATAATTAATGTATTTTATACAATTTTTTAGGCTTTTGGATACAAAATCTACATTTTTAAATTTAGGCTCATACAATTATTTAGGTTTTGCCGAATGTTATGGCCCGTGCATAGACGATACAGTTTTAGCTATAAAACAATATGGTTGGACTATTGGTAGCTCTCGCCAAGAACTTGGTACAAACCTTTTACATCTTGAACTAGAAAAGCTTACTGCTGAATTCTTAGGAGTTGATGATGCTTTAGTGTTTGGAATGGGATTTGCTACAAATGCTCTTAATTTACCTGCAATTATGACATCACAATGTTTAGTGCTTAGTGATGAATATAACCATGCATCAGTTATACTAGGAATTCGATTATCAGACGCAGTTTATATGGTTTATAAGCATAATGGTAAATTTTTAGTAATTTTAATTGTTATTAAATTTTTCATTTTATACAATTATAAAAAGTAAAGATATATCTTGTTTTTTTGTATTAAATATAATTGAACAGGAATATATTTAATACAGTAAAAATATTGTTGATTTGAGATTCATGTAAAAGGGTTTTTATAATTTCATTGTTGATGATTTTTTAAATATGAAATTTATTGATGTTAATTAACATGAACCCATTTTACATGAAAGCTAGCAAGTTGTCTTCCAAAAATATTTCTTATTCTAAATAATTAAAAAATTTTAGATATGGAAGATTTAGAAGAAATTATTAAAAAAAATATTATTGCTGGTAATCCAAAAACAAAAAAACCGTGGGAAAAAATATTTATTGTTACTGAAGGTATTTTTAGTATGGAAGGTTCTATAGTAAAACTTCCTGAAATTATTGCTATAAAAAAAAAATATAAAGTAATGTTTATTTTTTTGATTATGTAAAAGTATACAAGTGAATATTTCTAATTTAATATTTGTTTAAATGTTTTTTTTATGTTATTCAAGAATATTTTTTTTAATTATTAGATTAATAAACTTGATATAAAGTTTACTTTAATATATATATATATATATATTTACTAATTATTTATTTTACACTATGATCTCTTTATTAAATAATAGAAAATAATATTTAAAATAATAATATTAGAAAATTAATAGAAAAGTTTAGGGAAAAAAGAAAAAGCTTGTATGAGATTTATAGTTTTGGAGAAAGCATATGATAGAGTATAGAGAGAGGTTCTAAAGTGAGCATTAATGAGAAAAGGAGTACCGAAAAGTTACATTAATATAATAGAGGATATGTATGATGGCATTTATACCATGGTAAAAAGTGTGGGAGGAGTAACAGAAGTTTTTTGGGTAAGAGTAGGAGTGCATTAGGGTTCTGATTTAAGCCCTTACTTATTTTCTATAGTGATGGATGAAATTACTAGAGAAATACAAGGAGGAGGTGCCATGGTGCATGTTGTTTGCTGACGATATAGTGTTAATAGGAGAAAATAGGGAGGAAATTAATCAAAGGCTAGAGGTGTGGAGATCAGTTCTTGAAAAAAAGGGTTTAAGAATAAGTAGGAGTAAGACAGAGTATATAGAGTACGAGTTTGATAAAGGAGAATACGAGGTAGGTGAAATAAGGAGACCAGTGACAATAGGCGAGGACCTGATTGGAGAGGTGGAAAGTATTAAGTATTTAGGGTCAGTTGTGTAAAAGAGCGGTGGTATTGACCAGGATATAAGACACAGAATTAAGTGTGGGTGGTTGAAGTGGAGAGAAGCGTCTGGCATCTTATGGGATAAAAGAATTCCAATGAGGCTGAAAGGTAAATTCTACAAGACTGTAGTGAGACCAGCTATGATGTATGGTTCAGAGTGTGGGGCGGTTGATAAGAAAGTAGTGCAGAGATGAGAATGCATAGATGGATGAGTGGAGTGACTAGAGAAGATAAGATAAGAAATAAGCATATAAAAGGGAGTATAGGTGTAGCATCAATTGTGGATAAGATGAGAGAAAATAGACTTAAATGGCTTGGTCATGTTATGAGAAGAGAAGAATCGGAAGCCGTAAGAACAGTTGTAGAAATGAATGTTGAAGGAAAAAGAGGTAGAGGAAGACCAAAAAAGAGATGGAGAGATGTTATTGAATGCGATATGAAGAAACTGATGTGAGCTTAGAGGATGTGGGAGATCGTATCAAGTGGAAGTTTAGGATAAGGGTAGCCGACCTCAAGTAGTTGGGATTAAGGCGAGGAAGAAGAAGATCTCTTTATTAAATAATTTTTAAAAACTTTAAAAAAATAAAAGATAAATGTTTTTATGTATATTTTTAATATTGTTAACTAAATAATTACAAATTTTATTTTTATAACTATTCAGTTGTGTACTAATATTTTATTAACAAATTTTATGATCAAGAGCCTATTACATTATTTTTTTATTTAACTCTTGTAAATTTTAGGTATATTTATATGTCGATGAAGCTCATAGCATAGGTGCTTTAGGTCCAAATGGTGGCGGTGTTATTGATTATTTCAACTGTTGTTCAAAAGATGTAGACATTTTTATGGGAACATTTACTAAGTCGTTTGGTTCAGCCGGAGGATACATTGCTGGAAATAAAGTATGATGTATAAAAATATGATATTACACTTCAAGTTTTCTGAAGTGAATAACTTGCTATTAGTGTAATTTTATAAAAAAGAAAAAAAAGCAGAATGAATATTTCAAACCGTTTACTAATAAGACTAGCTATTTTGAACTTTAACATTAGAAAACAATGACAAAATTTATTTGTTGATTTACAGTCATAGGTTCAATATCATAAACTGGTCTTAGGATCCCAAGTTAATTACATTAAGAAATTTTTTTTAACTTGAAAACTATCTCTTTCAATTTTTTAAATACTTTTTAATTTCTAAATTTTAACATAATGTGTAAAAGTTGGCAAAAGACTTAACTGGGGCAAAATATTGCAATTACTTATTTTCTAGCTTATGGCATAAGTTGAATAAAAATCATTTATTAAAAACAAAACTAAGACATTTTTAAGTTTTATCAAAAGCTGTTGCAAAAATTTTAGAAATGTCACTACTCTAAAACAAGTTTTCTGTTCTTACATTAAGTTTAACTAGAATAATGTTCTTTAATATGGTAAAATAAATTTACTAGATTGCGTACAACATACATTTTTACGCTTTGTTATAACTATAATATTCCTAGATCACCTTATTCATCTTATAAATCTATCCTCACTAAACCTATATTCTCTTTAGTCAGCAAAAAACTCAGTTAAACTTATATTTCTTATATAATATTCTACTAAATAATATTGATTCTTCTGAATTTTTATATAAATTAAATTTCTTTATTCCATCCTAGAATACCAGATTCAAAAAAAAACCCAGCACAGAGAGGTCACGGCACAGTGGTGACGTGGCATAGTTGAGTCCAGTATATAATGTATGATAAAGTATATTACATTAGCTTTAATTTAAGGTATATATAAAAGTGTCAGAGTTTCCGGAACACTTTCAAAAGTTAATTTTTTGTGAAAAAGTTGTCATTTTGAATCCCCCTTGAGTTAAATTAGGTAAAGGGTTAAATTTATAAAAAAAAATATACCAAATTAAAGATAAATACATCATGTATCTATAAAAATAAAATTATATTGATTTGGTTATTTTTTAAATGCATTTTATGCTCCTTCTAACTACTTAATAAAGTCTGTAAATGTATTAAATATTGATCATTTTAATTTTATCTTATTTCTTTCTTTGGACAATTATATTGCTGTATAATGCTACTATTTAATAGTACCACAATACAGCAATTTGAGACTTCACAGTGATTTTAAATTAAAAACAAAAAATTTCATTATTTCTAATTTAAAAGTACATCTTATTTCTAAAATTATTATTACTTATTAGCTAAATTAGAATTAGTTTTAATTATAATATATTTATTATATGATATGATGTTAGTATTAAATTAATTCCATTTTGTTTAGTTAATAAAGATGTAATACTGTTATGATCAAATTTATACATAAATTGTAATAATATTGAGTTATCTATCTGTTAAAATAATAAATGATAATAACATAAAATTTAGAGAGTAATTTGTCATATAATAGTTCTATATTAAATTATTTTATTCTCTATACACATTAAAGTATAATTAGTATTTTTTATCTCAGGCTTTAATTAGTTATTTAAGAGAAAATAGTTATGCTTCTTGCTATGGTATGTCAATGCCTCCCCCAATAGCCCAAATGATAATATCTTCTATGTCAATAATTATGGGTAAAAAACATGGCAATGAAGGACACAGACGAATCAAGCAATTAGCAAGCAATGTTCAATACTTTAGAAAAAAGTTAAAAGCAATGGGTTGTATTGTTTATGGTAATGATGACTCTCCTGTTATACCTATGTTAGTGTATATGATTTCAAAAGTTGGGTAAGTTAATCAACTATTTGTATAAATAATTTTTTTAAGAAATAATGAATTAAAAATTTTATGTTAAAATAAATTTAGTTTATCACATTCGTTTTTTTAAATTATATATTATTAAGTCAATTTTAAAAGTATTTTATGAGCTACTCAAAATGTCAATTTATTGTTAATTATAGAGCTACTGTTCGTGAATTTGATAAATATAATATTGCTACTGTTGGAGTAGGATTTCCTGCTACTCCTATGCTGCAGAGTAGAATTCGATTTTGTATGTCTGCTGGATTGACTAAAGAACAACTTGATGAAGTATAAATTTTTAAAACCTAAGATTTCTTTATAAAATAATTTTTGTTTTAATTTCTAGTTTTCTATGAATTTTGAATTTTTATAAATAAGGTCCTAATTTTATTGATAATTTACATCCTTTTAATACTAATCCTAATATATTAATAAGTTATCGTAGTAATATTAATTTACTATATAATACAATATATATATATATATATATATTTGTTTTTACAGAGTGATTAATTTATTATTGACCATTGGATTTCTTCTGAAATAATAAAAATTAAAAAAACAATTTTTTTTTTGATTTATTTAAGTAGCATTTATTTCTCAGTTTTGAGTATTTAAATATTTTTAGGTCTATCCATTATCTCTTATAAGGGTATAAACTTTATTTTTTTTAATAACAACAGTAATGGCAACATACAACATGTTGTGAACCAATTAAAGGATTAAAATAGAACTTTCAATATTAAAATGAGTAATTAGAAGCTCTGATAGTTGATTTAATTAACATGATTAATACATGAACATAATAATATGAAATAAAATAATTAATACAGATTTAAATGCATGATTCTATATAATAACGTTATTATACATAAATGTAATATGATATTAAGAATTTCTGTTTTTACAATAAGATTATCTGAAATATTTTTAATTTATCTAGATCAAGAGATTCTTTATTAATTCAATAAAAATTACTAGATGTTCTTATGCTATTGAGAGTCTGGAGTAATACACGATTTATTATATTTAGTATAATTAATTATACTTATACCATAACAACATAGATGGGCTATTGAATAATAGATTTTGTGGTATTACATTGAGAGTAGTGTTAACAATTTTATTATTAGTGTATAATAATATAGTGTTGTCAGTGTGTAATGTATATAATGAGACAAATTTATTTGACCTACACCATTTACATACAGTTAAAATAGAAGTGTTGGACTTTTACTATTTAAAATTATTGATTCATTCCGTGTACAATAAATCCATGAGTCCGAATTAGATAGTCTGTACCAAATAGACAAATCGAATGAAATATATATAAATTCAAAAATTCCACTCAAAAATTGAGAAGTCAAAACAATAATAACTAATCTATTTAATATATAGTGATATAATTAAGTAAATGACTAATAATAAATAATAACTTTTAGACCAGTATTTTGGAAGTTATTAGCATTTTTGTACCTAGACAGATTGAAGAGTATGGATTTGAAATGACTCGTGTTGATAATAACAATATCATACCTTCATCCTTTATTATAAAATGTTAATTACTTCTCACATACTAGTTTTTACTCACTTACAGTACATTCTAAAAGTTGTTATTGACCAGTCATTTTCTTAACTAAATTAAGAATTATTAACATTATTTATTAAAAAAGCTAGTTAATAATGTATGTTGTCATTTGAAAAAAAAAATTTTGACACCATTATAAGGGATAAATATAAAAAATACTTTATTATTGATATATTGAGAAAATATGTACCAAAAGGAACCAAAATAAAAAAAATTCTTAATATTTTTATTCTTTGATTAATTGAGTGGTTAATGATAAAATAATCATTTTGTATATATTACTTAATAAGTTCTTATAACATTTTTTATTAAAAATTTCAGGTTCTTAAAGCTACTAAAAAAGTTGTTGATAAAATTGGCTTACGATACTCCAGGAAACAAATAAAAAATTCATATATTACATATGAATATGAATAATGTATAGAATTATATAATTTTGTACTTTATTAAAAAAAATATTTATTAATTATAGTTAATAGTATTTTAATAGATCAAACAAAAATATTATGTATAGTAAATTTAATCTAATAATAACATTAAAATATTTTTTCCATACAGAGTGATTGTTTAACTATAACTCATGCAATACCTTAAAAAATATAAGGTATAATATTAAATTTTAATTTGGAAGTTAAATTCTGCTTTATAATTTTCAAAAAATAATTGTTTCCATATTTCTATTTGTCTCTTAAAATACTATTAATTTTAGTTTTTTAAATTGAAACATTTGTTTAATCAAGTTACACAAACTAAAAAATGATCAATCAATGGAATTTTAAATCAGTATTTTGGAAGTTAGCCTTAATAGGGGAGGTGAAGCTTGGATATGTAAACTTTTACTTTTAAATATTAATTAACTGCACTACTCATCCAGCCTTTTTATAACAATGCTAAATTATTTTATAAATCCTAACCATAGGTTATTATCAGCTAACCATTTTCTTAGATAATATTTTCTAGTTTATAAGTTATATATATATACAGGGTGATTTTTTTTCATAACCCACTCAATTACTTACAGAATAATAATAATTAAAAAAAAAATTTTATTACTATCTTTAGTTACACATTATTCTTGAATTATTAACTATCTATTACTTTTTAAGTTCATCCCTTATGCCTGGTAAGGGTGTCAACTTTGTTTTTTTAAATGGTAACACATATTTTTAATTTAATAAAATATTTGAGTTTTTAATTCAATAGTAAATGGCATTTGAATTTTTAATAAAACTTAATTTGTTTATTAGATATATACATTTACAGTTTCAAATTTTTGAGTTAATATATAGGTATAATATACAAGGGATTACAAATACAGGTAGCTAATTGGTTTTTTATGACATCCATATTAGCAGGTACACAGCATTGTTATTATCAATGATGGTAAGGCACATTGTTGTGAGTTTATAAATACAGTAACTGACAATACAAAAAGTATATCTATTGATAATAAACAATCCGTGACTGTGATAGCAATATCATAAAAAACCAATTAGCTACCTGTATTTGTAATCCCTTGTATATTATACCTATATATTAACTCAAAAATTTGAAACTGTAAATGTATATATCTAATAAACAAATTAAGTTTTATTAAAAATTCAAATGCCATTTACTATTGAATTAAAAACGCAAACATTTTATTAAATTAAAAATATGTGTTACCATTTAAAAANGCAAACATTTTATTAAATTAAAAATATGTGTTACAATTTAAAAAAACAAAGTTGACACCCTTACCAGGCATAAGGGATGAACTTAAA